GTTTCTGACCAGCTGCATCTGGCAAGAACTGGCACAGGAATGGGGGTGGTCCAAGCAACAAGGCCCCCAGACTCTCACAGTTCTTACTCTCAGCTCCAGCAATGGTGAAAAATAAGCACTTCTGAATTTGTTGTCTCTATTTGGTAAATTTCTACAGCCCTAAATGATTGTTTTGATTATTTTGTGTGGTTTTTTTCTTATTTCTTGTGGAGAGGATTCACCAACCTCTTCACATTGCCATAGCTGCAAGCCCTCCGGGTCATTCTTTCTGGAGAATGATCTTTCAAGATATAATAAGAAATATAGAACTGTTTAATTGCTCTGACTTGGAAAATCTATTTGTAGAAATTGTATATCAAGGAAACAACCCCAAACCAAACAACAAACCGTAAAATGTGTACAAGATCATCACAGCTGCACTGTTGGTGCTAATGACAAATTAGAAATAAACATGTAGCATTTGGAAAGTGGTTAAATGAATTGTATTATAAATATGATGAAATACCACATGGACTTGAACCATGATCCTTTGTGGGCTTTATCAGGGTACATTCTTGGTTTGTACATGCTAACTGCAATTATGTGTTTGTTTATTCTGATAAAATATGGAGTACATTTTCAGAGGCCACTTAATATTTGAGTAACTTCTTTAAAATCACTTAAATCTGTGATTTAAAAATTGACATAATTGTTTCCCCTTCATGCTAAAGTGATTATATAGGAGTTTTGTGAACATAGAACATGTTAGACATACCTCTAGATTTTAAAAGACAATTTAATATTGTACATTACACTTATTATATTTGTTATTTTTAACATGACTGTTTCATGGTTTTGACTACCTATTTGTTTGTTTTACAACGAAGGCTTGATAAGATTGCCTTCCTGGTTATCACTCCAGTGTTTCTAACATGAGAATCTCTCCCCTCCCACCACTAGTCTGTAAGACTTGCTTCTTTCAGCAAAATTCTTGACAAGAGAAAAAATTCCTTCAGTCCTTTTGGAAGGGCTTTGAAACCATAGCTATTCAGAATTCTGAATAATTGTCTGCCTGTATTGTCATACCTATTCAAAGTCATTGAGCATCCTTACATGAATCTCCCTCATGCTGATGGTGATAAAACTGCATTGTGCTTGCCTGACACACACACACACACACACACACACACAAAGTCCCTTAGGTAATAACCAAGGGGCAAGTGTATTTCAACTAAGCCTATGACTGAAAAAAACATATCAAGTATTGGGCATATTAAAATTATATAATTTAATTAATGGCAACCATAACAGTATTCCTTCTTTTTAAACAACTAGTAGAGCCACTAATTCAAATCACTCATAAACCTCAGCAAAATTTATTTTTATCCATAATTAATAAGGAGATGTTCATTGAACACTTCCTATGTACAAATTTTGAACACCTAGATTTGGCACTTAGATATACAAAAGGCAGCCCTTGCCCTCAAGGAATGAAGGTGTAAAAGATAAGTACAAGAGTTGGAAGCACAGGGTGAAGGTAGACAGATGTTTAGAGGATAAAGGCAAGGATGAATTGTTTTTTCACTTAACCACATGTATGAAACATGTACTACATTCCAAGCACAGTTTTAGGTGCTGGGGAAACATGCTGAATAGACGTACAAGATCTCAGCTGTCATTGAGCTTGCATTCTTAGGGGAGACTCATAATAAGCAAACAAATATATGCTGTAATTCAGTAAGTGGTAAGTATGATGATGGATAATGAACCAGGGTAACAGGATAGAGAGAGACTAGGATGTAAAGGAGGGTCCTGTTTCAGATAGGTTTTTCAGAATAGGTCTCTCTGAGAAGAGGATATTTTAAGAAGAGCTAACTTGTAAAAAGCATTGAACCATGCAAAGATGTGCAGAAGAGTTCTAGGCAGAGGAAACAGCATGTATAAAGGTACAAGTGGGAATTGAATTGGGAAATTCTGAGAACAGCAGAAGTCCAGCAGTGGCTGGAAAGGAGTGGGCTTGGGGAGAGAGGTAGAAGATGAGTATAGTAAGGGAAGAAGAGGTTGGGGCCGTGTAGGGCCATGCAGGCCATGCTGACTGTGATAGCCCACTGAAAGCTCTAGCTAGGGCTGTGATAGGATTGGATTCACGCTTTAAGAAGATCACTGGCTTTGTGAGGAATGTATTCTATACAGGTAAGAGAAAGAGCCAAAGCTTGTTTGGAGGTATACTAATTAAAGAAGGCTGAACAACTATAACAAATAACCAAAAAGGTAGTAGCTCAAACACAATGGAAATTTATTTCTCACTTGCACTAATAGTCAGGGAAGGGTGTTCCAAATCAGTGAGGGTCTCTTCTCCATGTGTTGAATCAGGGACCCAGTGTCCTTCCATTTTTATGATTTCATCATCCCCTGGGACCTTGTAATGTGCAAAGTCAAGACTAGGTTCCCACATTCAGATTTCAGGCATTAGAGAAGACGCACACCTACTCTCTCAAAGAACTTTGTGCAGGAATGGTACTTGCCGCTTCTGTTCACATTCCATCAGTGAGAACTTAGTCACATGACCACATCTAACTCCATGGACGTGTACTCTACCTGTGATCTCTACTATCTGAGTGCCCCATGGTAGATCACATGGAAGGTGAGAGTGTCCTGCATAGGAGAGGCCAGTGGAGGCAGTAGGGGTGGTCATGTTATACTGATGGCAGAATCCAGAGGACTTGCTAATGGAATAGATGTGGGTGTGAGAAAAAGAGAGGAGTCAAGGATAAATCACAGATACTTGAGTGAATGATGTGTCATTTACTCAGATGAAGAAGACTTGGGTAGACTAGATTTCTGCTTTAGCCATTTTAAGGCTTGAGGTGCTACTAGCCATGTAAGGAGAGATATTGAGAAGACCACCAGATATTCAAAACTTGAGTTCAAGGGGTTGAGGATGATGTAAGCTTGGAATCATCAGTAAATGGAGAGTACTTAAAGCCATGGGACTAGATGAGAGCTCCTAGAAATGAGTACCTGTGGGAAAAAGAAGAGAGCTAAAAACTGAATTAATGCTGGGAAACTGCAATATTTTGGGGGTTGGAAGGAGGAGGTGAACTAGCAAAGGAGATTGAGAAGGACTGTGCAGTGAGTTAGGACTGTGCAAAAATATGATATGCACATAAATGATAACAAATAAAAAAGAACCTAGGTTTATAAAATGGATGACAATAATTGTACAAGGCCAGGAGGGAAGAAATGTAAATATACTGGTGAAAGTTTCTGATACTAATGTGAACTACTGTAATATCACTTAAAGGTAGACTGTGATAAGTTAAAATGTATATAACAAACACTGAGCAAGCCAGGAGAGTGAGCCAATCTAGGAAGCAAAAGAAGAAAGTGTTTCAGTAAGAAGTTGAATGATCACATGTGTCAATGCTGTCTGGAAGATCAAGAGTTGATCATTGAATTTGAAAAGATTTGATTTGTTGGCAACCTTCAGAAGAGTAGTTTTAATGGAATGGTGTATACAGTCTTAAGAGTGGGTTGCGGAAATGGGAGATAAGCACTATAGAGGCAATTCTTTTGAGAAGTTTAGCTATAACGGAGACAAAGAAATATGACACTAACTAGGAGGTGACCTGGAGGTATTTGTGTAGATAGGACCAATTACAGCATATTTGCATTTATTGGGGATGATTCAGTAGAGGCTGGAATAATTGATGATGCAAAAGCAAAGTCCTTGAGTGGGGCACAAATGGAGGGATGGACCTTGGGTAGGATCAAGGACTGTTCATCCACTGTAAAAAGAGGAAAGGCAGAAGAGAGAGTACAGATGCAAGTGGGTAGTTGCTGTATTTGGTGATGAGAGGACATGAAAGCCCTCTTTTGAAAGGAGAGGTTGTAAATTTGTTACATCAGAGAATACGAGAATTAGTTCACTCAGTAGGAGACCACTAAGGAATGCTGAAGTATGGAAGCAGATGA